GAGGGTGCGGAGGCTGTCCAGCACCATGCGGGTGGTGGCACTGATCTCCTTGGTGACGCTGATGCCGGCGAAGTTGAAGAAGGCGATGCTGCTGATGTTGCCCAGCAGGGCCAGGGCGATCAGGGGCCGGTGGCCGATCTGGCAGAAGGCGTCCAGGCCGCCGAGGGTTTCCGCTGAAGCTGCCCGCCGGGATGTAGTACATGGGCACCAGCAGCAGGGCCAGGATGATGAAGCCGAAGAAACCTGGGTGCGAGCGGGTGTCAGATGGGTGCTGGCTCCAAGCACCAACCCAGGGCTGCCTGTCCCCCCCCTCCCGCTAATTCTCCCTGCCCCCTGAGACCCACACCCCCCCGCAGCACCCACCTTGCCCCCAGACCCAAACCCCCCAGCAGCACCCCCTTTGCAGCCTGCAAGCCCCCTCTGCACAAAGCAGCCCTCCCCAGACTGGGTTTGTGAGATCCAGCACCCCTCGAGCGCTCAGCCCTCCCCAGGCTGATGTTGCGACAGACCTTCGGTGCCGACGGCCCGCAGCGGGTGCACGTCGTGCTTGTAGACAAACTTCTCCTCCAGCACCATCTGGATGGCGACGATCACCTGCGCCATGATGATGAGCAGGTCGCCTGCAGGGAGAGGAGGAAGGGCAGGCTGAGCCCCCATCTCCGTGCCCACCGGACCGGCAATGTGGCGGAGCCATGCCTGGAGAGCCGGGGCACACACCCTGAGGGGAGTTATTTCCCTCCGTGGCCATCCCACCTCCCCCAAGGGCCACCACGTACCGGTTATCACCTCGCTGAGCTTGTGTTTCTGGTCGTGGGAGCTGTGCAGGTCAGCCAGCCCCACCACCACCAGCCCCACGATGGTGACCAGGATGCCCAGCCACTGGCTCAGCTCCAGCTTGCGGCCCAGGAAGGCCACGGAGAGGAGCCCCGTGAAGATGATGACGGATCCTCGCAGCATCTGGAAGCTGGAGGCACTGGTCATGTTCAGAGCTGCGTGGGGAGAGACAGACCCATGAGTCACACGTGCTGCTGGAGCTGGCTAACGCCGCCGCCCCTCTGCTGTGGTAATTAAGGGCAGATCAGTGATTAATCGGAGGAAGGGGCAACAATGCTGTCTCCCTCTGCTCCTGTTTAGAGCTGGCAGCAGAGAGGTTCATGCCAAGACGCAGCCCCACATCCCTGCTCCACAGGAAAACCGTGCTCCCCTCCCCGAGGAACACAGCTTACTGAGCCCTGCCACAACTCGTGGCATGGGTGGGAAGTGTTTGCTCAGACCCCTCTTACCCGCTTCAGGGTCGACACCCACCCAAAACCGAACGCACCGTGACTGCAGCCGTCCAGCCGAGTCTGGCCCCAGGGACGGCCAAGTCCCCGCAGGGCAAGGGGGGACGGAGGCAGTGTCCCCGTCCCCAGCACTTACCCACGTACATGATGCTGGTCCCAGTCATATCGCAGAGGGCGGGGGGCAGGAAGAGCAGCGGGCTGAAGGGCTGCGACGGGGCCATGCTGGGCTCTGGCCTCCGCCGATCCCTCCACACCAGCAGGTAAAACACCCCCAGGCACGAAAATTCACCCAGGAACATGCCCACGGCCTGCGAGAGAGGTGGGTGAGGGGGGCTGGCCCTGCCAGCAAAGCCCGTCCTGCCCCGGGCGGGGGGCTCACCTGCAGGAAGGGGTGC